GGTTTTGGGGTTTGTGGCTCAAGAATTTCGGGTTTAGGGCTGAGGTTGTTCAAACTTCGGGTTCTAGACGCCCATCTCTCGTCCTCAGAATCCGGCCCCCGCAGGTTGGCGTTGATGATGCGCAGGGCCAGGGACTTGGAGTTTCCCGGCTTGCCCACGACAAAGACAGGGATGCGGTTGAGGATGCAGACCATCATGACCTTTCATCGAACTTGGAGAGGTTGATGGGCACTTCTAACTGGGGCTTAAGAGTAATCAAAAAAGAGTTTATCAGTGATGAGAATAGGGGATGTGTGTTTAAAATTTTAGAAAAGGTCCTCCCAAAACAAGGTCATGAAAACTATGGCTACTCCACAGTTCTGGGTCACCATGAACACTGGACTGCGCTTGCGCGTGCCAACTTGGTAGAAGCAGGGCTTGCAGTGAGCTTAGTTACAGTGGGTCAATGGGGTCAATGGGCTCAATGGGTTCCATGGGTTCACTGGGTTCAATGGGTTCCATGGGTTCAATGGGATCATGAGCTCAGGGTCCGGGCAAGATGCGGCACTATCAAGGGCCTGTAATTCTTGAGGCCCCGGCGAAGACATTTTCCAGCAACGCCTCGTTCACCGCAGTCATGTCGGGAAGCCGCATGTGCTCAAGGTATCGATACATCTCGTTCTTCAGCAGGTAGTTCACAACCGCTTCATCCTCCCAGTTCTCTCTCCGCGGCAATTGCACACGATGACTTGCAAGGATCTTTGCAATCAGCTGCCGGTAGAAATTGCGAAGCTTTCTGGTGGGAAGGCGGCAATGGTATGACACTGCAAGTCCATTCAAGACAGCCCGCAGCCACATCTCCGAGTCTGCCCCAGCTAGTGAGGTCGAGGCTTGCTCTCCTCGTGCACGATCCCATCGCTTGACCTCTGTTCGGTACTTCAGGTGGTCCTTGCAAAAGGACGGTTGCGTAACTACCCACAAAGCCCAATACCCCTCCCGGGTGGGTACCCCCCGTAGTCGACCTGTATCCAGTCGCGGCCGACGTGCCCGGACCAAGGGGGATTTGGGCCCGGGTATAGGGGCAGATGCAAAAATCTTGCTCCACCTCCCCCTTCCCCCCCCCCCCCCCCCCCCCCCCCCCCCCCCCCCCCCCCCCCCCCCCCCCCCCCCTAATCTTGTCCGACGGACATGCCGCCTGAGGCTTCCCGTGCCAAGTCTTCTGCCGGTATTTATTGCCCGTCGTTTCCTACCCTCCTCCACCCCCTCCCGCTCCACCTGCTCGCCCCCCCTGGCCTGACACCCTCCAGTCGCGTGGACACGCCGCCTGAGGCCATCCCCGCTTTAGCCCACCATCACCCCCCTTCCCCTCCAACCCCTACTCCCCCCTACCCATCCGCCCCCCCTTACCGACCTTGGACCACGACGCCCTTTAAAGCTTCTGCGGAGAAAACGGAGTGTTAGAAAACGGGCTGTGGGGGACCGTGTGAGGAGGGGGTGACAGCCACGAGCAGGATGTGGAGGTAGGAGCAAGAAGCGGAGTGCGGATTTAGGGTTGCGTATGTCAACCATGATGTCTGCTCCCTACCGCCTTTGTACCCTTGCCGCGGCGGCCTCGCGCTAGCGATAAAACTAAGGAATATACCTGGAACCTTATAGGGACCCTATGGGACTCTTATCATGATGTAAGGGCAATGTAGCCTTATTTAGTGGGGGCACTGGGCTCTTTGGGTATGTTATGATGTCCTTGAACCAATCCACCAGTTCCACACAGCGCTTGACATCACGGAGGCTGAGGAGGCAAGCAGGCTGATTCTCGGCGGTGAAGCGCTGCGAGGCCACGATCAGCTCGGTGAGGCACGCCAGCCCCAGCTTGCTGGTGGCGGGCAGCCTCCCGTGGGGTTTAGGGCTTGGGGTTTAGGGTTTACGGTTTAGGTTTTGGGTTTAGTTAGGGTTTGGGTTTAGTTAGGGTTTAGGGTTTAGGGTTTAGGGTGTAGGGCTTAGGGCTTAGGGCTTAGGGCTTAGGGCTTAGGGCTTAGGGCTTAGGGCTTAGGGCTTAGGGCTTAGGGCTTAGGGCTTAGGGTTTAGGGTTTAGGGTTTAGGGTCTAGGGTTTAAGGTTTAGGGTTTAGGGTTTAGGGTCTAGGGTCTAGGGTCAGCTTGCTGGTGGCTGGCAGTCCCGTAGTTCAGGGCTTAGGAGGGCCTGAACCTTGAACAGCCTCCCTTAGCCCGTCTGGACGGCCTCTGCTGGAACTTGTGTTCGACCATCGACCGCACATAGCTCTCCTCTTCCGGCTTGCCCAAGAAGCCGAAGTCGTACAGGTAGTCGTACAAGGCTTCCGGCAGCTCCTCTCAGTCTATTCGGGTGGCTCTCTGAAATCGAAGTCCCGTTTTGGGGTGCCCTGTATACTACGGCACCTTAGAACAGGACCCCCCGAAGGGCTTCGAGCCTTATGGCTTTGGAGGCCTCAGCATTCAGGATGGCTCAGGGCTGGGCAGCACCTCTCCTGAACACTGTACACCAACTCAGAGTGGCTTCGCCTCCGGCTGCTGTCCTCGGTGGTCAAACATGACCGCACACGCCTGCCGAAGAGGCCCAAAGCCCAAAGCCCGAACCCCTAAACCACATGGCTTTCTGTATTAGGGCCCCATTTTGGGTCATTAGCATGTGGAGGCCATATACTTAGGGCACATGAAATGTTCGACCAGGCGGCGCTGAGGGTCAGCGCTTGCTGGGCGGCGGCTTCGTGGCCAGAAAGCTTGGGCTTCTTTCGGTAGGGGTTGCCTTTGAGGCTGTCGGATGTTGGGGTTGAGGGTTTGGGAAGTGTAGGAATTGAGGTTTGGGTTTAGGTTTAAGTTGGCATGTGGCCGATAGGGAACGTAAAACCAGATTCGACCCTCAGGACAAGGCACAGGCAGCGAGCAACGTCAAGCTGTCAGGTAGAACTTCACCAAGGACCCTGTGATGGCAAACAATCTCCGTGATGAGGCCCATGTGCTCGCAGGTGTTCACCTCATCCAGGAAGGCCCACACAGACTTCTCGTCGGTGCTCTGCGACGCGCAACTTTGCACAAACTGCACGATCTCCTGGGAGGACGTCCCGGCATGGATGTTGAGGCACTTGAAGTCCACGCTCAGAAGCCTTGCCAGGTGCCGGATCAAGGAGGTCTTCCCGCATCCGGTCTCGCCCATGATCACCACCGGCACCTTTTGGGATGTTCCCCCTTGTACTAACAGCTCCTTAATCGGGACTATAGTACCCCCCCTATTAGAATCCCTATTCGGGACTCTTAGTATCAGGGGGAACACCCCAAGGCACCTTGCTCTCGACGCGCAGGGCGATCCACACCATCTTCACGAAGTTGTCCGGGCTCACGACGTAGCTGCTGCCTTCGGCGGGCTTGCCGAGTTGGCTGCCCAGAGGCAAGACCATTCTGCCGAGTCGCTCCTGCTTGCAGGACCAGGACGGGCAGGCGAATTTGAAAAAACGAGCGGCTCTTTTAAAGAACCCTCTTACCACTGCTACACCAAACCAGGATCAGGAACCGCCCTACATCCAAGGTCACGAGCCTAATATCCAAAACCATGTGACCCGAAACCATTGGGTGGCCTGCCAGACATTTAAAACAAAAACCCGAAAACACAGATCCCGAAACCTCAACTCCCAAAAAGCTCACCCAAAACACATACACCCCAAAGCGTCGATGGTTTCCCTAAACCCAAAACCGGGTAAACATCCCCAAAACCCATATTCCAGGGTTCCCGCCTCCAGCTCGGCGGTGCTCATCTTGGAGTAGTCCGGGAGGCCGGAGCGTGGCATAGCCCCGCCTGGCAAAGGAGGGCTTTCGGGGTTTGGGTTTAGGGTTCAGGGTTTCGATGGGTTTAGGGCCTTTAGGGTTTACCTTTGTCCAAACATAAAGCCCAGATGAAACTTAGCTCAGAGGGTAACTTGCTATGCCTCGCAGGAAGGGGCTCAGGGGCGTCTGCTGGGATGCGAACAGCTCCACCACCTCCTTCGGCACGTCTCTCACCTCAGAAGCACCCTCAACTGAAGCCAAAAACCCCCGAAGCTCTCGACCGGTAAACATCCTAAACTCTAGATTCCCTGGGCCTAAGCCCTAAGCCCAAAGCTCCTAGCCAGGGACCGGCCTCGCGGTAGACGGGGGAGAGGGTCTGGCGATCAAAGCGATGGAACAGCAGGAACCTCCGGCTTTAGGGTTGCAGGGTTTAGGGTTTAGGGTTTAGGGTTTAGGGCTGCAGGATTTGGGGTTTCTAGGGCTTCTAAGTTTTTTCTGGGCTTGCTAGGGTTTTCAAAGTGTAGGGTTGAGGATGTCAAAAATGTACAAAAGACCTGACACAAACTCGAAACTTCCTTAACCCCTAAACCCTATATACTAACCCTAAACATTAAACCCCACTAGCCCTACTAACCCTACAAACCCTACCAACCCTACTAACCCTATTTAACCCTACCAACCCTACTAACCCTACTAACCTTACTAACCTTACAAACCCTACTAACCCTACTAACCCTACTGACCCTGAACCCTCAACCCTAGACCCTAAACCCTAAACCCTAAACCCTAAACCCTAAACCCTAAACCCTAAACCCTTCTCTTCTGCTCCGGGCGCGGTTTGGTGTCGGACCATCGGCTCATCCCCAGCAGCGCCTCGGCGCAGTGCACGGCTGCGGGGCCGTGCTGGCTCCTCTGCCGCACCTTTTTTGGGGGGGGGTTTAGGGTTTAGGGTTTAGGGTTTAGGGTTTCGGGTTTGGGGTTTGGGGTTTAGGGTTTAGGGTTTAGGGTTTGGGGTGGCTGCTCTGTCCCACCCTTTTAGAGGTTCGGGGTTTGTTATAGGGTTGTATTTTGGGTTTCCTATGAGTTGTTATGGGGCTTGCTAAAACCCACTGGGTTCAGGGTTTGCTATTGGGTTCATTGTGGGGGTTGTCGGGTTTTTTTTCTACGCGTTGTAGATTTTGGCTTTTCGGGGCTTAGGCTTGACAGAATTTTGGGTTGATGTAGAGTTTCGGGGATATTTATGGACTAGGGTTGAACTTGTTTCGCCTTTCTACGGGTTCAGGGATTATAGGGTTTTTCTAGGGCATGTTGTAGGGCTAGTTATAAGGCTCGTCGCTTTATTATAGGGCGCTCAAGCTCGCTGGTGAACCTGTTCTTTATGACTGAGTTTAAAGGGCAAGGGTTTAAGGTTTATGTTCCCCCTGATACTAACAGTCCTCCATAGAGATTATAATACCCCCTATTAGAATCCCGATTAAGGACTGTTAGTATAAGGGGGAACATCCCAACCTTCGGGTTTAGCATTGATGCAGAGCCACTTTGCTCGCCGCCACGGAGCGCGCCAGGAAGCTGGCGCACGCCTCGAGCGCCTGCTCCACCAGATGTGCCCGCAAGGAGTCCTTGAGATTCAGCTCCTTCAACGTCTTGCAGTCGAAGTACACCGAGTGGCTGAAGCTGACCAGCTGGGCTGCAAGAACTCGGAGCAGCGCCAGCATCAACGAGTAGGACATCGTGCCCATCCGGCGCACAAGGTAGACTTGCAAGAGGTCCTGACATCGCGCTTCCGGCAGCGGGGTGGCTCCGATCTTCACCGCCCGGGTGTTCAGCGTGTTCCTGTCGAGGGCGTCCAGCGTGCAGCAAACCACCTGGGCAGGGCTGCGCGGGCAGTCGGAAACCTGGAAGGCTCGCATGTCGAAGCGCACGCTCTTGGGGGACACCAGCCGACAGAAGGGAAGGTCGAGCAGCAGCCTCGTTGAGAGGTTCGCGAGCTCCACAAAGGTACCGCTGCAAGGCAAGACGCAAATGCTCGCATCGCCCTGTGTGGCCTGGACTACTCCCCAGAGGCTGAGCTGCGTCAGCGTGTCCGACAGCATCTCCGGTTGGAGCGTGGGCCCCACATCCAAATGCAGGCAGTGGAAAGGCCGCCACTCGACATCCAAGAGTCGATGAACCAAGTCCGCCACGTCCAACGGTCCGCTGACAGGGATGTTCACTGGGACCTTCTGCTGCGCGAAGGCGCGCTGGCGGATGGTCTCCGTCTTCCCACACCCGGCCTCCTCCGAGGTGACGAGCATCAGGTTCGGAGCTAGCTTCCTGACAATGTCTTCAACACCCTCCGGTGACAAAGCATGCGCGGCCTGTGGCGGAATCTCGCGAAGGGCATGCACCTGAGAATCGTCCTCGGCCATGGCGAGCATCACTAGGCGAAAGGAGCTCCCAAGCCAGCCACCTTTGATTCGATCTACCAGCTTGTGCTGCATGGAGTACGACAGGCGCTGAACATGGACCAAGCAATGAAGGCCGCCCACGTGCTTGCAACGTGCAAGGAAGGCGTCCAGCTGCGGCCAGGCCATTCCGTCTTCGCAGAACAGCATCTGCGATGCTTGCGGCAGGCTCCCGACTCCTGCGGCTTCAGAACACAAACCTGACCCAGCACCACTAGTACCTGTACAATTACCCGGTAATTACCGATACCGCCCCGAAAGACAGCAGGCTGCCGGTCCTCCGTAGAAGGACAGCGCCAGGGGAAGCACATCCTCCCCTCGCCGGGCGAGCACGGACCGAGGCACTCCGGGCTGCACGACGCTGCGGAGCCCGGTCTCCATAGGGCCGAGCTCAGGAGCGGCTCTTCTTGCAGCGAATCCCATGACCTGGCCACGGAGAGGGTGGCACGATGGCATGGGGGCCCTAAACACTATGGTGCTTGGTGCCCTAAACACTAAGCACTGACAAGCAAGCCCGGAAGAAATCGCCCGCGATGTAGATAAACCCCCGCACGCAGTGCACCGTCGCACCTGGTCCAGCCTCTGGCCAAGAGATGCAAACCATCCACCAAGGTTCTGCTCACTGGCCAGCGACGAAGCCATCAAGCCACGGAAGCCCAAGACCTGCCTCGGCGCTCATGGGTAGTTGGAATCAGAAGTAGGGTTAGAGGCTGTAAGCACATTAAGGGCAAAATGTATAGGGTCACCTTGATTGTGACCCTACTTGTGACTGCCCACGAACCTTCAAGTACGCAAACTGTGCCGGAGGCACCTGACACCGAGCCACATTTTCGACCCTCAACCAGGTCTTCCAAAGAAGCCCTCAAATTAAGGAATATTCCCGAATTATAGTACGGGACGGCTCGTAAGAAGAGCTTAGGGAACCTTCCATAAAATTCCCTCGGTTGAGGGCTTGGGCTCAACCCTCGTTTTGACACCACTCCCTGCCTCTGCTCTGAGGGCGACAGGGGTCGCGACCCTGCAAGAGCCCCAAAGGGGTTTAGGGTTTAGGGTTTATATAGGGTTTAGGGTTTAGGGTTTAGGGGTTAGGGTTTAGGGTTTAGGGTTTAGGGTTTAGGGTTTAGGGTTTAGGGTTTAGGGTTTAGGGTTTAGGGTTTAGGGTTTAGGGTTTAGGGTTTAGCGGGTTACTTGCGTGACGGAGTCGCTACCTCTGAAAGGGAGCCCAACGTGCGACATACTGACTCTGCACGGAGTTCAAGGAACAACTTCGGGCTTAGGGACTAAGGTTAATGTCCCTGACGGCTCCTGAATGAAGGCCAGGATTGAAAGCACCATGTTCTGCTTGCTGGCGGCGAGGGCTTTCCTTGCAGCCGCGACGCACAAACGCAAACAGGCCCCATGCGACTCCACGGAGGAGGTCGCAGGATATATATATATAGAGAGAGAGAGAGAGTATATAGAGATAGACAGATAGACAGATACTGTAAGGTTTTGGGTTTAGGGATTCTAAGGGGGGCTGTAAGAGTTGATGAAGGTTTACTTAAACACAGTGCTGCGAAGCTGCCCTAGCAGCAAGAAGTCCGACAGGAGCCAGAACTGCTGGGAGTAGACGAAGGAGAGCTTTGGAAACCTCTCGCGAGCCTGCTTCAGGCTGTCTTGCCAGTCTTGAAGCTTCTCCTCAAGGGCTCCAGTCTCCCCTGAGGCTACCGTACTCTAACCCAAGTAAACGCCCTAAACCCCAAACCCTACAGCCCCATGTTGCCTAAAGGGTCCTGTAAGAGGGTCGCGAAACCCGAGGGTGCAACGTTAGGGTCTCAAGGTCGCCTCCTCCCTTTCTAAACACTTGCAAACCTACTTGTAAAAAAAAAACGATTGACAGTAATTAAACCCTGCACACTAAATCACTAAAACTATGCTACTTCGAACATCCCCACCCAATAGATTTTGGAAGTTGTAGGCCGTCCTACTCGAGGGTTGGGCACTCCAGGGACTCTTTGGGGACTCTCTGGGGTGGGGGATGCGGGAGATGGGCGGGGAGGATTGCAGAAGAGTTTAGTTTAGAATCTCACAACCCCGCACCGAGAGTACGAAAACCCTAGGCACTAGAAGCTAAATATGCCCGAAGCTAAAACGCCTCTAAACCATAAAACGCTCGGAACCCGTAAACACGCCCTGAACCCTAAAACACTGACAACCCCTAAGCCCTGCACCCGAAGAAGCAGAAAAAGCCCAAAACACTGAACCCTAAACCCTAAAGCCCTAAACCCTAGGCACCAAAACCCCCAAAACCCTGAACCACCGGTCTCCTCAAAGCGCTCCTGCAAGGTCTGCAGCCGGTCCAGAGCACCTGCTTGAGTTGAAGGCATCGGATTCTCAAACTGAGGGCTTAGGGCTTAGGGTTTAGGGTTCAGGGCTTAGGGTCTAGGGTTTCGGGTTTGGGGTTTGGGGTATGGGGGCAAAAGGGTTTGCGGATAAGGTTTAGGAATCCGGGTTTGGTGCTTAGGATTATTTAGGATTTAGGGGTTAACCCTCCAAGCCCTAAACCTCAGGGTCCTGAAGTGTCAACGCCTGGACACAAGTTTAGGGTTTAGGTTTTGGGCTTTGGGCTTTAGGCTTTGGGCTTTGGGCTTTGGGCTTTGGGCTTTGGGCTTTTGAGGGTTCAGGGTTTCTCGGAGCTAGTGTGTGCCACTTGAGTGACGGGTCTCTAAACCCCGGTCGCTTTCAACCCTACTATTTACTAAGTACCGCGGGATGTCCCCGCCTGGGTTGCGAGCCTCATAGTCGCCAGCCCGGACCCACGGGTAGCCTTGCACGAAAAATTGAACCCAAACCCTAAACTGCCAGGTTCTCAGTGTGGACATAAGGAGTCCTGTACCATATATCCCCGTATACGACCCTTTAAGGGATGATATGGGGAACCTCCTTCCCTCCCTATATTAAGGAGCAGTATGCGGAACTTGCACCCAGCTCAACCCGTCTAAACCCTAAAAATCAATACCCCAAACCTTGAACCCTGAACCCGAAACCCTAAACCCAACCCTACACCCAGCCCTAAACCCCGGTTGGTTGTAGGTTTGAGGTTTGGGATTCAGGGCCTGGTGCACTGCTTTCCGATAAGACCCATAAACGGCGTGAACTCTATGAAGCCCTACAAACCTCATAAACTCCAAAAACCCTAAACCCCATGAAGCCACAAACCCCAGAAACCCTGTCCCCCAAAAAAGCCTTATAAACCCCATGAACCCTGTATAGGTTTCTTTTTTGGGTGGCCCTATGCAAAGCACCCTTTATAGGGAACCCTAGATCTAAACCAGGTTTCAGCCCTATAAAAACCACATACACCCCCTGTAAAAATCGTGAAACCCCTAACCAGGGGCTCGAAGGCTAAACCCTAAAGCCCCTAAACTGTAAACCCGAAACCCTAAACCCTAACCCTAAGCTCGAGGGCTCTATTGAGCGCGTGGGGGGGGGGGGGGGCGCCTTGCTGACGGAGGGAGTCAAGAGCTTCCCGCGCCCGCAACAGCACGTCCACCTGCCCGAGCCCCACCCTGTTCAGGGTTTAGGGTTTAGGGTTTAGGGTTTAGGGTTTAGGGTTTAGGGTTTAGGGTTCAGGGTTTAGGGTTTAGGGTTTAGGGTTTAAGCGAAACCCTGAGATTATAACCCCCCTGAACCCGAGAAAGCCCTAAGCCCGCTCCGCCTGAAGCCTGACAAGAGCCTGAAAAACACCCGCCAAGCCCCTCTAGATCCTGAAGACCCCTATAAACCTCATAAACCCCATTAATCCCAAAAACCCCTTAAAACCCTATAATAAACCTTTTAAACCCTCACAAACCCAAATAAACCCTTTAAACCCAAACAAACCCAAATAAACCTTTAAACCCTAGTAAACCCTAATAAACCCTATAGACCCTTTAAAACCCGCTAAACCCTGTAAAACTTAAGACACACTAATAAACCCTAATAAGCCCGAATAAACTCTTTATAAACCCTAATAAAAACCTTCTAAACCCCTCTAAACCCCATGCCCTTGACGCCAGACCTGCTGCACGAAGTCGTCGTGGCTCTCACTCCGCAGCAGGGCACGAGCCTTGAGATCCCTCAGGTCGTGATCCGGCAATGACACCTGGTCAAGGGCTTCTTTCGCGGTTTAGGGTTTAGGGTTTAGGGTTATGGTTTAGGGTTCAGGGTTCAGGGTTTAGGGCTTAGGGTTTAGGGTTTAGGGTTTAGGGTTTGGGGTTTGGGGGTTTGGGGTTCAGGGGTATCTAGATCTTTAGAATTTATAGGGTTATGGGGGTCCTTTTGTGTTAGCTTTGAGGGATTTTGGCGGATTTTGGGGGATTTCGGTACCTACAGGGCCGACAGCTTTTTGGGGCTTGATGGACTAGTGACTTGTTGGTGACCAGGGGTTTGGGGTTTGGGGCTTAGGAGCGTGTGGCTTAGGGCTTGTGGATTTTAAGAGCTTCTGAGTTTACAGGGAGGGGCTGCGAAGGAGGGCACCTGCTGAAGACGGCCATCCAGCAGAGTCATGTAGGTCAGCGAGATCTCCACCCCAGCGGCACCGCAGCGGAGCCGATAGACACCCTTTTTGGAGGCATGCTTGATCTTCTCAGCGGCCATCTCCTGCACTTCTTTCGGCTTCATGGTTGAACCCCAAGCACTAAACCCTAGACCCTGAATCCTGCACCCTTCAACCTCCAAAACCCTAGACCTCCAAAGCCTTAAACCCTAAAGTCCCAGAACCAACTCTAGCACCCTTTGCAACCGCCTCCCGGTTGGATAAGTTCTTGTAGAGGTTGGACAGCCCATGACAATGCTGAGAACATGCGCGCAGCTTCTCTCCGATGTTGTCGATGTCCTCCAACTCCTGCTGTGTGTCCTGGTAGGGTTCTTAAGGGGAGGGGGATTCAAGGGGGCTATGTAACCTAAGGTTCCCTAATACTCCCTAGGCTCGCTAAGCTTCATCAACGTTCCAGGTACCTGCCCCCTTTGAACCCCCCCTCCCTTGAGAACCCTATTATAAGTCCTTTATGGCCTGGATGAAGTCCATGGACGTGATGGGACGCATCTGAATCCTGACCGGGCGCGGCAAGTGCGAAACGAAATGCAGACCAAAGTGCCCTGAGCCCGGT